CTAAAATTGTGCTAAAAGTGTGGGAAAATGCTTCTACTCACCCATAATACGTATCCCTTGTTTGGTAATCAAACCCTATAAATTGTACCTCTTCATTTTCATTACGGCCAGCGTTTCTTACTCTTGAAAAATAGTGTTAAACATAGAATAATATTATTCTAATTTAGTTTTATGATAATTGTTCTTTTATTTTACATTTGTAAGTATTGTTAGGTACATATGAATGTATTTGACATTATTATTGGGACGCAATCGCCGAATGTTTGTGTCAAATTGTCGTATGCTTGTGGTGAGTAGTCATTTCGCAACTAAAATCGACCTATGAAACGGCATTTCTTTCAAAGATTTTTTGTAGCTGTGCATAATACCTACCCCTAATGTTGCTTATTATTTTTTTAGAAAAAAATGCGTATTATACATTGGGAATTACAGTAATAGTAGTTTCAATGTGCCCCATATTTTTCAATTTGAATTTAGTGAAACAATATTTTGTTATCTGATGTCGCTAAGAATGTATAATATTTTTATGCTTGCAATCTTTAGTCACAATGTTAGGTCTTTTAGCTTTACATGTCTGTCAATATAACTGCTACGGACCCAAAGAATAGTGACTTTTTTATGACACTTTCAAGGTGATGTTCATACCATTTTTAGAATCCTTCTTTATGATTTTAACTGAATTAGTTGGTTATTTCTTGGGTGAGAACGTCTATGACCATAACACAATGAAGCTGAATTGTTTTCTTGTTGGCAAGTTTTGATGTTGAGCTGTTAACATAAATTTCTCTTCATTTTTTATTTTTTTTTGTTTTTCGTTTTAACTCCGAGGACATCAACCCGTCATGGGTCAGGCTTTTGTCAACATCGGGGTTTTGTGCTCTCGAAATGGTTATCAGTTATGTAAGGGTTCGCCTTAACTTTAACGTTAGTTGAGTCTTTATTGTTTGCTTTCTGTTTGATGTTTTCAGCCTCCACTTTTAGCAATTTACTTCTCATTATGGTGATAACGATGTTTTTCCTTTGATATATTTATTACGGTTTGCCTCCAAGACTCGACCTGTGTCTTCAAGGGACACAAAACCTTTTGCATCAGTTTGATGAGATAATAATAAATGTAATTTTGTCATTGAACAAAGAGCAATCTACATAAGAAATATCAATCAGTAGAATATGACATCTGAAGACAAAAACATATTCAATTAGTTATGTGCTTAGGCATCTTTCGATACATCAATGACGCAGTAGGTTGCAATTTCTTTCTGCGTTAGACCAATTGCCATCCAAAGCTATAGAATCCGGTTCTGCTATTTACCCATAGCTGGGGGAAAGACCAAGAGGATTCATACATTTCCCAAGAGTACGTAAGTGAATGTAATGGATTCGACTGGAATTCGAACTCGGCTGTCTGATCCCCTAATCCGAGCCGCTATCCGTTACTTCACCGTGCCTCCTGACTTGTTGTTAGTGAAGCTGTGGGAATGAGATCAAAAAGAGCAAACAAATACCCCTAAAATATGTGAATTGCAAAATACCATGCTTCTTCTAAATATTAATAATCAAAAGCAGAAAAAGAAGGAGATGTATGATATTTTGAAATTCATATATTTTAAGGGTATTTGCTTGCTCCCAATAATAACATTCAGAAGTTTTTTGTTAAGATCTTTTAATGATGGGGACGAATATTGCAGCTATGGCGATTTTGGTGGACTACTGTAACTGGTCATCAAAGGCGTAGAAAGCGCATAGTTCAAATAACTGTAAAAACAAAGAAAGAATTTAATGTGTTGCTGAAGAATATGTTTGAAATAGTTTTATGGCAATGACTTGTCTACTAAAATAAAGAGAAGATATAAATAACCATCAGTTTTCAATTTTGATTCTGTAAAAACCATTCAAAGAACCTGGCCCCTAACGTACGAAACTTTCAAATAATCTACAATCAACGGAATGTAGAGAATTATATAAGATTCAGTACACATGTAAGTGCTGTGTATCTGTAATTAAAAAATGAAGATAGATTTATTACAAGTCAGTATATTAGAAATCTTGTATTATTTACAATTTTCTACCTAGACTGTCTTCTCTTTTTACTCGTACTTTTAACGTTAATACTAACAGCAACCATGGTTATTTACTAATCCTAGTTAATTTTGACTAATGATCCAAGAAAAGGGACGCTTTAGGAGAGTGTTTTTAACCTTTTTAAGCAACGGCAGACCTAGGAGGAAAAGAAAATACCACGGCACACTTTGCATAATTTTTAAAGGGCATACTTTTAAATGTTATGAAATAAAACCATAAAATAAAAAAAATACACACATAAATATAAACTTTCTTTGAATATTAAATGAATATTAAAACAAAGTATTTAACATAATCGAAGAATAGTGAAAAGAATTATTTCAACACAAATGTTTAGACTTCTTCATTTATTCAAATACTAACGCTATACCATTATTACTTTCACACATATATATGTAGGCCATGGCAATATTTCGCGGCACACTTACGAGGATCTCGTGGCCCACAAGTGAACCACGGTACGGCGGTTGAGATTCACTGAAATTTAAAGCACTAGGCCTATGTTCTTCAAGTTGAGATTACTGATTCCTGTACTTGTAAACACGCTCGCAGATGTAATATTGATAATAAAACACTAAACATATTATGTACAATCCTTTTGCAAGCTTGACGCCATTATAAACAAGTACGGATATACTGAAAGTCGTACAGAACAAATTATCTTTATTATCTAATGTTGGGAGGCCTGTTCGCAAAGAAATGTTTATAAGTGAGGAACGAGATATTTATTTTTTCGACACTCGTCCGGTTTATCCTTCACTGATAAATAAATTGCTGGCTACAATTTGATTCCGATCTCACCCGTTCTGCCATGGTGTTTACCCTAACCCTATTTCAGTTGCCTTCTCAATCCGCAACGGTCCACCTGTGATATTATCCTGCAACTATGTTGTGTCGGACTGTCGTTACAGTTTCTTGGTGAGGGCGCATAATCCAGCATTAAGTAATTCCTTGAACAAGACCAATACACTCAAACCTTCTATCACAATGACTTGTGACTTTTTTCCTGCAAAACCATCAACGGCTTCCAGACGGTTCCATTTAGCAAATTTCAATTACATTGGTTTGGCTTAGACTATAGTGCGTTGACGGATGTTTAGAATGTTCGCTTTCAAATCTCGCTATGGTAGATTTATTCGTGGACATGACTTCTTGATGTTATCAATCTGGGTGAGCCATACCCATGCTCGGCACATTTCGAATGTGCTTGAAAAGAATACCGTAAAGATAATAGTGGTGTAGAATGAGAAAAATATTCTTTATAATTGAAACAGAGATCCTTTTTCAGTGATACTTAGGTTACATAATGCTTTTGACATTTATTGGGGTCAAACTAATTTTAAAATCGTGAACATCCTTTGTTAGAAATTGCACTTGAAATCAGAAAAATAATTCCCTTTTGATTTGGATTTGTGGAAGTATCTGTTTTAGAAAATGATAACTTAAAATACGTGATTTTAGGTGAATTAACTCCTTTTTATAAAATTCATAGTTAATATAAGAAGTTGCCTCCCCGTTGAAACGCGGTTTCCCGTACGATCATTGAAGTTAAACGACATCGAGCCAGGTCAGATGGGTGACCATTTGTCAATACCAGGTGTTGTAAGCTTGGATGTGCGGGTGGTGTATGGCTTAGAATTGGTCATCGGTTGGCCGAGTTCCAATTCTCGTTGGAATCGTTATTTTCACTTACATGCAAATACCAATGGGAAAAGGTAAGAATAAACCTCTTCTTAGTAAAACTTGTATCAATAAACCATTATTATCTAGAAAAAAAAAGAAGTATTTTTACAATCTAAAAAAATTGTGGCTAAAACTGCAGAGCGTTGATAAGCTGTAGAAAACGAATAAGTCAATCAAGTTACTTCCCTTAGCTATTAAAGCGGCGAAAGATTACATTTACTTATTGTTCTACGCCTGTGGTATAGTCAATGATGATTGATGAGACGAGTGAGAGCTGGAGGAAGTTTACGGTGTCTTCAGTTTTCAGATTGATTTAGTTAAGCTGGTTGTCTACTGTAGCCATATATGGTGGTCAATACCGCAGGAGACGAGAGTTCCTTTTGTAGAATATCTGTATATATTGCCCAAGACCGTTGCTTTGGTCGTTGGTTAACTGATCGAACAGTAGGGTCTATAGAAGTCAACTGAATTCCAATCTATTCGACCAGAGCTTCCCTTCCCTTAAGCAAGATATACATGGTCAACGCAGAGCAAGCTATGTTTTTGTAGAAATTCTCTAACGCTAATGACGCTAAACACGCATGTTAAACTGTTAATTATATTTCTATGACGTAATCAAAATTAATTAGAGTTAAATACGCCAAGTTGTGTCAAAGTTGGGTATCTTTTATATAGAAATGGCCAAGACAATCGTAGTGTTTGTTCATGAGTTTATTTATACATACACATGTAATTGCAAACATTATCAAATACACACAATGCAGTCATATATGTAAAGAGATTCCTGTAATAGTCACCCAGCCCACAGTTAATTACTTTGGTATTCAAATTTATTGTAACTAAAATCTAAAACGAGTTCTTTTGTTTATAACAGGCGCTAGACTTTTCATACTGGCATAAAACAACGTCTAATTCAACAAGTTAAAAATACTAAATTAACTTTTAAAATATTCATTAAGAATTTCTACCCTCATACATACGCACAGAGTATGCAACCCACCCGGCACATCCAAAAATATACGCTTAAGTAAAAAAAAGGGGGAACCTTTATGTCCACTAAGTGAAAAGAAACACTCAGTGATACAAACAACGTGAAAAAGAATTTGAGCGGCGCACAGACAACAAGAATCAACAAAACAATTGCAGAAGAAAGCATATCATAACAATATCCCGTCGTACGTTTAATCAATGCAATATTTACGAAAAAAAAAAGGCAATTTGAAATTTAATTAACATCATTGTTTTCCATATTTCTTCTTTTGTGTAGTTTGGATGTGTCTGTTATCGACGGTAGAGTCCCATCCCCAGCCTTGTCGACTGTGCCCTTGTGGAGGAGGCGATGGACGAGGATGCATGGCGCCAATTGCAAGAACGAAAACTTCATTCAATTAAGAGAAAAAAAACCCCAAAAACAAAGAGAAAACGAAAAAATATGAAGCGAGAGTTTTTTTAAAATGAAAATAAATTACAGAAAATTAGAATCAAGAATAAGGCGAGTGAATAATAATTCTACCTTCACTGCCATTGATTACAATATTGTTTTTGATGATTTTTAAAAAAAATGAAGCCAACAATAATAAAAAAAAGATCAATTCTACAGATAATTTCAATAAATAATAACTCTATTAATATGAATCTGAACATAACTAGTGATGTTTGATGGCTCTTACTATGGATTAAGTGACAACAAGTCAATTAAATTTTCTCCTAAATTCAGCATAATCATCAGTAGTCATGTTAGTATCAATAATCTTCTTGTTTTACTATTTTTTATACTTTCTAGTTCTTCTATAAAACTAGTCAACACGATTTTTGGCGCCAAGAAACAAGTTAGTTAATTTGATGGTAGCGATTCCGAAAATGAACTTAGTTTTTCATGTTTAGTTACTATTTTTGTTGTACTGAAATTGCTCATTTTTGAAAAAAAAATATCAATTTACGATCTTGGCTGATCGCAAAATTTCTTTAATAAAGGTCGTAGATCCCATCAATTTTCAGGTAGACTGAGCAATTTATGTCAGCCATTTGAAATAAAACATTTTTTATAAGAAAAACGTGTTTTTGAGTAAAAGAAATTAAAATAGGAGTACTGATTTTTTTCAATTTATCGCCAAAATTCAAATTAACACTTCATCAGTAATACATTTTAGTAAATCTGATAATTAAAGTGACATCAAAAAAATGAAACCCTAAAATCTTCTGTTTCATAAATTTATCCTATCACTTTTATCCCTTCACTACGGAAAGAAACCAAGCACATTGAGAGAATTTTGTTTTCACAGTTGGAAAGAAACTCCAACTAAAGACATCCCAATTGAATACACCTATTCCATTGTACATGATATTGCTGGAGTATCAAAAGAGACTTAAATAACATTGAACATGACAGACAATCAAGAAAGAGAAAAATTTTACCATAGTTCTTATGTTCAAGAAAGTTTAATTTCTGCTGTTAGTTTATTAAATGATTTGATGAAAATATTTGTTGGTCTTGGTATATTCAATTGTGTTATTTTTAAAGACTTAGGGTCTGATTGTTATTGCACAAATAGTATTTCTCAATAAGCAGACCAATACTTGTTGGTTTAAATACAAATTGAGAGGTTTCTACGATTTTATTTTGAGAAATATTGCCATCGGTCAATATTATATATACAGAAAACAAATGAAAAAAAATGATTTTTTTTTCCAAATGAGGCATTTCTGTACAGCAAAAATTAGAGCTAACCAAGAAAAAGTAAGTTCCTTTTTAGATCAACGCCCTCAAATTAGTTAAAAAAAATTGTTTGGTGCCTCGACACCATTTCAAATATTTTTGTTGAGCAGTGTAATTATTCAAGTGTTTTTAGAATTTTCTAAGTTGCCAAATAATGTCGGGTTAAGTAGTCATTCTCATATTAAACATTTATTTCTTTAGTTCGCAGTTATTTCCCCTGTTTTTCATTTGTATCAGTTTCATTCTGTCCTTTTCTGAAACAGTATATCAAACATCAACTGATTTTAAGAGAAACATACAAGAAACTGCAGAGATCCCAATAAAGATAGTTTTAGGGTTGATACCGTGATACTTCTCTGATACCCCGGAAAATGAGAACCTCTTTTCAACACGTCATACTGGGTATGTGAGTAAAGACAGTTTTGTGATATTCGCTAGTTTTCCTATTCACTCCCCGAGAGAAGGCACGCAACAAATTATATATTGTTCTCTTTCAATAAAATAAAGCCTTTATTTAAATTTTTTCGATTTCACTCTAGCTCTTCTTTATATATTTTAATCTTTTTAATGTTTGGATAAATATCTGTACCAGCAACAGTTGCTATTAAGACCAGCCATATATATTTGATAAACACATAATCTTTATTGGAGAGTAATAAACAGCTCAAATTCTTTTTAAGGGTGAATTAAACCCAATGATAAGAAAACACCCAAAACCTAACATTAATCAAATTATTCGGAATACTGAAAAGAGTGCTGTAGTTTTGAGGAAACGTAATGTCAATAAATAGATAAAGATTCCCATCAGGATAATATTTTATATGACATAAAAAGTCAAATTCTTGCCATTTGTTATTTTACTGGTTGATTACTCCAAGATACTTCTGTCATTTATTCGCTAAAAGTCGTCAAATAGGATAATAGTTCTTTTCCTTGGTTTCTCTTGTTTTTATTAGGATGTTAATTTCTCCATTCTTTCTCGCCTCATTGTTGGCACGGTTTAATAAAAAACCTGTTTTTTATACAATTAAATCTTAACATCGTAAAAGAAGAAAAGTAGGCATTTTGATAAATTTACTATGAAGGCATTGCATCCAACAGATATTTGTTTTAATACATTTCAATAAATTATAAATAATCATTTTTTTATTTGTAAAGGGAAAATTGCTTTCATTTTTTAATAATAGTCACTAGTTTATCCGTTTCAAACGATAACTTTCTGTGATCTTTTCTTGTAATTTTTCACCAAGTTTTGTACATTTATTTTCACTTGTTTTATTTAAATCATCTTGATAAATAGTTTCTAATTCTTGCGTTAGATTCGCTTCCAATTGACTCCACAATTCTTTTATCTGATTCAGGTTAGAGCTTTCAGCGGTTCATAACAAACATTAATCTTATATGTTTAAAACAAGGTTTACATAGAATTTAAAATATGGTGATTCTCTAAGCGTAGGCCGGATATATGGGCCAGCTAGTAAAGATCGAACTCATTATTCACTCTCAATTGATTTAGCGAGACAAGTTTACTAATCATTACATTACGTCCAAGTATCCCTCTGAATTTAAGTTATGTTTCAGGTCATTATCCTGCATGCTGGCCAAATGACGTCCCCACAATATTAACGTAATTCTCCTGTTTCATGATACCATCACCCTTATCTAAAGGTTCAGAACCTCTTAATGACAAAACGCCCAAGAACACCCAGCGTCAACATCCATGCTTCACAGTAGGGACAGTATTCTTCGGTCGGTGAGCTTCAGCACTTTACCCCACCCAACCAAACATGTGACAAAAAACGTTATGACCAAATAATCTCTATTTTGATTTCATCAGACCATTCTTTAACATATTTCCAATGTGTCCTCAGATTGTTGCAAAGTAGGTGTCTTTTTAGAAGCGACATGCTTTCGTCTCCCACTTATCAAGATTTGTAGCCTCCTATCACTGAGAAAATTTATTTCTCTTTTTGGTGGCGTCTCTAGAGATATTCGGTGAAATAATCAGTCACTTGCGTTCTCCTGGATTTAAAAAAATATTCTTTTACAGCCTCTCCCACGCTTGTTCATTACAGTAGCAGAAGCTTCTAGAAGCTGAATATTTATGAGTTTTTCAGAGATATATGAATTTTCGTGTTTCAACATGAGAAAATTAGAACTGTACCAGTAATTATACCCTTAATAAAATTGCTCTTGTTTAATTATTGGCATTTTATTTAAATACACTTCAAACATTTGTGTTACATGTAATGAATTCGGAGTAAATTTATCTAAATAGTGCTTTTACTCTACGTTTAATTATAGCCACAAAAGACGTATCTATTTTTATTGAACCGTGTCAATAACTATTCACTATTACTAAGAACACAGTTGTAATAACGACATTCTGGCCTGGAGGTGACACTGCGCTATTATCAGATCATTGTCTGGTATCACTGTATTATGCATGATTCATTTTACTACGTAAAATATCCGACCAGAAAGCGATGAGTATCCATCCAAAAGTAACGAATTTATCAATTTGGCCTGATACATTTCAACATAGCAAAATCATATAGGTATTATTATTATAGATTTGCTAAGATCTCCATTTCATAAATGTTTCAGCAGAGTGATGATGGCCATAAGTCTGCTCGTAACCACATCTTAGAGATGCAACACATTCCTTAGCACATGATCTTTTCCAAACAACACTGTCACCTGTGTTCTCATATATATATATATATATATATATATATATATATATATATATATATATATATATATATATATATATATATATATATATATATATATATATATATATATATATCGTTTCGAGGCAGATATTCTTATTCCTAGGCACTGCAATGTCTATCACGATCCATTCATGGCGGTTCTTGTTCACATGTGTGATAAAGGGATGATTGCGCTCCAAGCGCTTGCCAGTCACACGTGAACTTCAGTTGTTCAATATCGGCTATTAACAGTGGTGAATTCTTGTACTACTACTTGAAGCCACACTTTCTGCATAATTCCCAATCTATTATGATGGCTAGTCATGCCATCGTCTCTATGCATTTTGTGCTGTTTGGCTACAGCCACTGATAATGCGTTGACAATTTTAGTAACTTTCTCTCACAGCCTTCACAAGCGTAAATCAGCTACTGTTTTAAAAGAATATTTAACATTAATTTTAAATTTTAACATTATTATTATTATAACCTGTTTTACTTATTTGGATTGAAGATTAACTGGAGTTATCTGAATGCAGTCGAAGAACAATCTTGTAAATCAGGCGTAGATACTGATAGAAATGGGATAATAAAAAAGAACCCAAATATCACATTGGAAAGTGGGTGTCTGTCCTGAGAATAATGAATATTATTAAAACTTAAAATCAGACATTTGTCGAAATAAAATTGTGATATAAAGAGTAAATTACAGAAGATAAAGAAAGGTGAAAACTAGTCGAGATAAAATTACTTGTCCAGCTGCTGATGGGAGAGTTTGAGGTCAAATTCTTGACCATTAATGTTTTGGCCGCTTGACCTTGCGCCCTATTGCCAAGAATAACAAAATTCTAGACTTCCTTAATTTTAGTTAGAAGCACCAAACCCAAAAGCAATCAGAAAAAGTTTTACACTTGTCTTTATTACGTTCCAGTGTCTACGAGTTCATATGTATGTAGGGGACACTTAATAAGTTTTGTCGAATTTGTACAATGACAAAATTGTTCATCTAATTGTGATATTCTTCATGGAGTATTCTGATACTTCTAGTAAGGCATTGTTGGTGTTGTGTCAAAATTGGGGAGGCGTTTAAATGTGTGATAGTATTTTGGAGTCATTTAAATATGTCTCAGTCGAATGATGCATTGTATTCTTCGAAAACTTTGAGTGCGTAACTTCTGATGAAAGAGACACGAAATTAAAAATGACCGTGTATGAATAAAATGTAAACTATTTTGAAGTGTGTACTTGTTATGTACTTGCATGGAAACCATGTTTCAAGGAAACCGTGTTAAAAGAAAACTTGTCATGCTCTTAAAAGCCTACTTTTCTATTTAGCGTAGACCTGCCATTAATTGGTTAATCAAGACATACCCACAAGTCTATTTTTAATTCTGACCTTATGTTCCATGGTCCCGCTTTCGGAAAAGAGGTAACACTTTGGTTTTAAATGTTCCTAAAAATCATTTAATCACCATTTACTTACACTCGCCTGAAGAAGTACAATCAAAGTATTGAAACATGAAAACTTTTGTGTAGCGATTTCAACATGTTTTTATTATAACCTCTTATAATAATAATAATAATAATAATATATTGCCCTACTTTGTATTGAGCCCTTAAGTATGTGTGCGTGGGTATAATTGCATACGTACTAATGTATGGCCGTAAATCCAAACAGTGTGATGATACTCCGGACTATAATGCCCGACAGTCACTCGTCCTGGGTATGACGATAAACTACATCCGGCAGCAAGGCCACTGATCAGGAGGTTTTGAGGAGAGTGGAAGTACCTCTTAATTGCTTTTCTTCCCATGTTCACTCTGCCCCGGGTTGGTAACAACTGTTAGAGTCCCAGCTATGGGTAAATAGTTAACCATCAAACTGGGGTCAAATCATTATGAAAGTATAAAATCACATTTTTCTAGTAATACCATCAATACATTTTCAGAGTAAAAAAAACAACAAACAAACAAAACAACAACAAAAAAAACCCTCACCCCCTAATGGCCCATAATATGTTGATATGCCATTAAACGAACAAAACGAATCTAAAGCGAAAGTCGCGCCAGTTTCATTCATTGTTCAATAAAATGTAAGACTGGTCATTTATCTTCAGATGCTTGAAAATTTTCCTTTACATTTATTCAGAATAAAAAAGAAAATCGTATAAAATTGTAAAGATCTTATTAAAGAAAAATATGCGCTCTCTAGCAGGATTCGAACCTTCGTTCCACGCACCCGTCCAGAATAAACCGTTGTTAGGTCCGACGTGCTAAAGATAGGCTCGGCCCGGCCCGGCTACGAAGAACTTTTTGCCGATAGCGTAATGTTGAATATGGCTTTTAAGCAAAATACTTCTCGTCGTATATTTTCAATATTTTATATATGATCAGATTCGTTTCCAAACGTAAACAAAGCAGTTTTCGAAAGAAGTAATGGATTTTTTCTTTATTAATCCGACAGATTTTATCACTTAAATGCATATTTGATTTAGACCCTCTTTTAATCTATTAAACAGTATGTTTATTTATTTTCGCCTACCGAGTTGAATATTCGAGACAGACAGATAGATGGATAGATAGATAGATAGATAGATAGATAGAGAGATAGATAGATAGATAGATAGATAGATAGATACAGACTTGAGAGGGTTTTAGAGCGTGATATATTGTGATATTAAGCTGAAAAACGAGAAAGAATTTGAGTTTGAAAAGTCTTTAGAGAGAAAGATAATTTATCACGAGCACGCACACAGGCATGTCCACGCTCACAGGCACTCACACACACACACACACAGAAAGAGAGAGAGTGAGAACGATGGAGATAGTGAAGTCCAGAGAGAGAGAGAGAGAGAGAGAGAGAGAGAGAGAGAGAGGGAGAGAGATAGATAAAGACACATTTAAAGCTAACTAGACAGAGAGAAAGAGAGACATAGACCCAGGGATAATATTGCATAGTCACACACAGTAAGACGCACACGGAAAGAAAGGGAGAACGAGGAGGAGAAAGTTATGCCCAGAGACAAAGCGAAAGAGGGTGACAGTGAGAGAGCGAAATAGAGAGAGGGAGAGAGAGAGATGGAGAGAGATAAAGAGAGAGAGAGAGAGAGAGATACAAAGAGAGATAATCTTAGGCAGAAACACGCACACAATGAGGGCGAGAACAAGGAGGAGAGAGTGATGGTCAGAGAGGGGATAGAGAGGAAAGAGAGAGAAAAAAAGGAGAGCGTGAGAACTAATGATGACCAGATAAAGAGAGAAAAATAGAGAGATAAGAAAGAGATGCCCAGAGATAGAGAGATAATCTTGAACGCACACACGTACACAGACTGAACATTAGAGAAAACGATGACGTGGGAGTGATAACGAGAGAGTGAGAGAGAAATGGGGAGAGGAAGAGAAAATAATAGTCAGAGAGAAGATGAGCGATATATAGAGAGAAAGTGAAAGAAAGAGAGAGAGAGAGAGAGCAAGAGAAAGAGAGAGAGTGTGTGAGAGAGAGATTAGAAGTCAAAGAGGCCAATAAACGTATTTCACTCTCTTGACTCTTGCTGGCTCTCAATCAACGTGGTTCGTGTCACATAATAACTGATCAAAAAAAAAAAAAAAAACTAAATAGAAAAAAAGTTGTCTTGAACGATAAAAGAAAACAAAAGAAAAACCTAACTGAAACTGGCGCCAATTCATTTTCTCTTCTTAGATTTTTTCTCCCTTTTCATTCCGGACGTGGGTTTATGTGAGCCGTGTGTCTTTTAAGCGTAACTTTTTGTTTTGTGTCTTTCACTGTCGCCCTGTCTTGACCGATCAGTGCGAATAACGGAAATACAGACTGTCAGCTCTTTCTTTTTTTTCCCTTCTCACGGAAATTCATTCTCTAAGAACAATGACAAAGACGGTCAGACTGGATCGTCTTTCGCTCAAATCAAAGTTGATTAAAGTGGCTGAATGTTGCGGTTGGTTATGACCATCTTATATATATATATATATATATATATATATATATATATATATATATATAATTATGAATACATCGAAGACTAAAACAAATACAATCCTCTGAAATGTAATACAATTATCTTTCTAACTCTTTTCAACAGAAAACATCTGTATATATATTTCTTTATATTCCTGTATACAAGAAGTCCTTATATATATATATATATATATATATATATATATATATATATATATATATATATATATATATATACTGTGAAACTGAAAAGATCTGATGCCAACTCACTTTCTGAAGGCAATAATCTGATCTGAATTTTTTGAATTCCTTCTTTGTTTGGCAGATATTTTTTCACCACCCCTGTCGGTAGTGTAATGGATATCGGCTCGGAACGAGAACTCGGAGAGCGGAGTTTGAATTCCAGTCATGTTGCTTACCTTCGCTTACGCGCAAATACCCTTGAGAAAGGCAAGAATCCATCTCTTTTTCTTCCAGCTATGGGCTAAATAGTAGCACAGCCTTGGTTGGCAACCTGTCGCCACAGAAAAGGACGGCAAACCACTGCGGTAAAATCTACTACCTAGAGACATGATTGCTTAAGTGTGTATCATATGTGACGCTTAACTGGCTGACATTTGACGACATTATTGACTAAATGCCGCCTATAGTAGAAAGTGGGCACACTTGTATTATACAAGTGACGCTATATGTAGAATGGTTTCACGGTGTTTTACACCGTGAAACCATTCTATTTTATAGTTGTTGGTATTATTTACTGATATTTTATAAGACTATGGTTAGTGTAGATGTATAGTGTTTGGTCTATTTGGTCTGTAGAAGGAGTAATACTTTTATCTACAAAGAAGATTATCGTGATTTTGAACAGCTATATCATTATGAGGATAATGTAAAAAGTGGTTTAATCTCTTTGGAAAGGAATATTAATAGAGACCGGACGTAAAGTGAACTAGCGATCGAAAAAATTCAAACTATTTATAAAAACTATTTACATTGCTCGGACTGTCATCTTCATCACGAAGTGAAGTGAAAAAATCAGTTGTGGCTGGCCACATATCGAGAGAAAAGGGAAATCACCGCCCTCTTTGGGATCAGGTTGAAATCATCGACAAATAACATCATTGGAAAATTCGTAAACTTAAAGAATTAGAACATATGCTAGGCCACAAAAATCTCCTGAGCAGACCAAGCCTAGAAATGAATACAATATAGGAAACACTAATAAAGAGTGCCAGAGAAAAGCAATAATAACAACAAAAATTGCAATATGAGTACTGGTAAAAAACGGTTGTTGAAGACATTACGTTTATAATACCCAGAAATACACAGATGTCTTCAAGGGCACATGACACTGTGGATAAAGGCGTTACTTAGATCCAGTGACCGTAACCAAAGAGTGTGAGTTCAATACCTGGTTAAGCCGGTGGAGAACTTGAACAGGGGAATTAACAGGAAATAACTGATAACTGACATCTATTAGACAGTGAAGTAGAACAGTTTACCACAGCAAACGAAATAAATGGTTCAGTTCGACATTCCAACTACCTGAAGAAGGCCGGAGCGTACAACGGCCGAAAAGTTGTGATAAATATGGCAACAAATGTGAGGATGATAGTCCGAGTAATGTAAATAATGTACATAATGTCTCATCTCAGAAATATAGACAGATATTTATAAACAGTTCAGCCGACAGGTGTTACCGGAAATCATCCTTGCTTAGAGCTCAGTCAGCTGCTTTGAAAACATTTTGATGGCACAAAATTCAGTATCATGAGTGAAGCCAATTTGGAATGTTTAATTTAAGGATTTTTAATTATTTTATTATTTGTAAAACAATGTTAAAGATTTATGTATAATCGTCTTGGTAGTTTTTTTTTTTTATATAAGATCTAAGTAAAGTTTATTCTTCAGATGGGCTGGGCGATTTGTGTGTTAATTTTTGTGCATATTTTATGGTTTTTAGGCTCAAGCGCCAAAATTGTTTGAAGTGTTTCAGATCATTTTTTTTTTTTTTGAATACTTGGAGAGGTTTTTCTTTTTTATATAGATATTGACCAATGAGAAAGAAGTTTGCTGGATATTGTCAAATTTTGGCTGGAACCGATATCACGGTCACTTTTTCAATAAAAAGGACTGCTGCTAGCGATCTGGGAGCAGAGGTTTGAGACAACGGAGCAGAGGACTGAGGCAGCAGATCAGGGAGGAACGGATCAGAGAAGAGACAAAGATGTGTTGTTGACGAGAATCGACTGGGCATAGCACACTGCATTTCAAAGGAAAGTCAAGTCGGGGATCACCAGTCTGATTTGACAGATACCAGGCATATATTTACGGCTAAAGATTTCACACACAAGAACAAACAAGTGAAATTTATAAAACAAGCCCTCTCCAAGCTGAGACGTCCTGTCTTTTCATACTTTTAAGAAAACAGTTGTGTTCTATTTAAAAATTTTCTGCCTTATGCCATATTGTTAAATCCTTTCTCCAAGTTTTTTCCTAATATTCTTTTTCTTGTTTCTATAGGTAACCTCTTTTTTTTATTTGTTACCCCAGAAAAGTGTTATTCTGCTCAAAGAGGCACACAAAAGAAAATTTTTGTGCAATGCTTGTTTTGTAATTTTCAAATTTGTAATTGTAAATAGATGTGTTATTCTTTTTAAAATTTTACGCAGTGTTCATCTTGTTTCTTAACTTGCTACTATTTTCGAGAGTTGCTGTTTCTTGTGTCTGGCACAAGGACTAGGAGTTGGTAGGAAAGCAAAATTTTTATAGATTACCGTTATTTGTGCTATCACTGCTGATCTGTAATTTCTCGATAGAAAGTTACAAGGAAATGTTTGATAGGTCTGTGGAAAACCTTATGTAATCACTGACCAATCAACGAAAATTCTCTTCTCCATATAATCGATATCGGTCGAAGGCAAGGGTGAAACATGGAATAGCCAAAAACAATGCTAAAGTTTTTGAACGTGATCACCCACCAATCATAATCCAAAACGCTAATTTTTATTTTGGTAGATTTTTAAAAAAATATTATTGTCTTTTATGTTGCATATATGATTTGTACTTATATTACAATTAACCCCATTTACACTTGTTATCAAGTGCTTACCTTGTTTCTTTATTTTAAAATCACCAATACTTCCAGCGACTGTTGCATGTAAGGACTAGACGAAGAAATTCAACATCCCTTCGCCAGTCATTTATTTCCTCGGATATTCAGTGTGGATGCAGAAAGCGTTGATGAAGCAATATGGTCACAATTGGTCCTATGTTAAGGATTTTGGTTGTTTGGAATGTGATGATTGATATATAATCTAATTGCAATGAGTTTCGATAAGTGACAAGTTAACCTATAAGATACAGTGGTGTTTGTATGACCAATATCTTTTGAATATTTTTATTGGAGATACAATCTTACAAACAACACTAATTAATAAATAATTCATAATCAATTTTTTTCTTATTGAGTAGGTATATTTCTAGTTTCGAGTTACTGGAAAGGATTGACTTAGTTATTTTAGACTTATTTTTATTGTACATTATAAATCTAATGTACGCATTGCAATTAAGTGATCGGTAAATTATATTTTTAATGACTTTTTCATTTTTCTCATAGGTAAAGTACTTCTAGTTACGTTAGAACAAAATAGAGGTTCTTTTATTTGTGTTTTTATCAGGTTAACGGTTTGGGCAATTTTTTCCAAAATTCTTTCAAAATTAATTTCATTTACTCATTGACAACATGACTGGGGAATTCGTTGCTGATAAGTATTTGCTTTATGCTACACAATTCTTTATAAAATAATATGAGTTACGTAATATTCATAGAATGTCAATTTCGGTGAGTCTATAAAAAGAAATTCAAATAAGATGAATGAAATATTTGTCAAAAATTATAAATAATTGAATCTCTCTTAATCGGGATATAATACCCACATAAGATATTTTTCTAAATATTATAACTTGTCATTTAAGTCTATTGTGAACAGAATTCTCGAATTACTTTCTCTCTAATTAAACAGAACATATAATGATTCTTTTGGAAGTATTTTTAACTACCATTTAGAAAGTGTGACAGCATTTCCTGAGGTAACGTCCTACATACTTTAAAATTCATTCTAATAAGTCATGAGTCAATGATGAGATTACATTCATTTTTTTTTTAATTCTATCGCCTTCGTATTCTAAGAACTGCACACAACGATAATCTTATGAGTGTCGAAGAACCCAACGGTCGAAACATCGTGTTAAAAATAAATCCTGTTAAAAGAGCTTGAGAAAGAAATCAAACAATGAAAAATTCTTCATCACCAAGTACATGAAAGTCAGGAACTGTATCATCCGATACATGATAAATTCGCTGAAAACCGAATACGAAAGGCAGATGGAATGAAAAAAAAAAAAAAAGATCTCAGATATTAGACAATAAAAGAAGGCAAAGATGAACGAGTAAAATTATAAAATAAATTCACTAAATATGAAAATTCCATAGAATAAGGAACACATTTAACTGTAGGAATTAATTCGGAATTCTTTATGCATTACAGGGTGCTCGGTAAAAATGGCAGCGGTAAAAATGGCAACGGAAAAAATGATAACGGTAAAAATGGCAACGGTAAAAATGGCAAAAGTAGATAAATAGGAAAAAATGGCAAAAGTAGATAAATAGGAAAAAATGGCAAAAGTGGATAAATAGGAAAAAATAAATAAATAATTTAAAGAATTTAAATAAGGGTTAAGTTCCCGCTCCTAGTATTAAAAAATTTTTTTTTTAAATTTTCGATGTCGATTTTTAGAAGTTTTATTGGTGGGGGGGCGCTAGGTTCCTACTCCTAATTGCAGTAAAAGCACAAATCGTAGCGTGTTTAAGTGAATTTGATGACTATAATTAATTTTATAATTGATAGCTGACATTAGGATTAGATGTGTGTGTGTATATATATATATATATATATATACATATATATATATATATATAAAATAAGAAGTGTATTAGTGTTTATGTATATATATATACATCTAAAAAATAGTGTATATATGTATATATATATATATATATATATATATATATATATATGTGCATACATATATATGCATATATATATATATATATATTTATATCCATTTATATTTATATCTTATATATATATATATATATATATATATATATATATATATATATATATATATATATATATATTAGTGTTGGGACGATTAATCAGAATCGGGAATCGGAAAAATCGCAAAGGCGAAGGTTAGGAATCCCATTCACAGATTTCGTATTGATTCTCAGAGTCTAATTTAATTATTTTATTGGTAAATTCTGGTAAACGAAGTAAATATTCTAGAGTTCATTTAGCCTATTTCCTCAGCAAACCTTTTGAATTTCTGTTCACACCTATTTGCTAAATGTCTATATGACGCCTCTCAGAGACTTCACACTTGAGTATTAAAAGATTGAAAACACATCAGACAAGGTTTTAAATTTTACTGGCACCAGTCTGACCCCTGTCGTTGTCTGATAGCCTCTGAAATAATTAATGTTTTATTGTTTTGTTTGTTTTCGGTTTCATCAAGTGGACCTATAATTGTTTTTTCCCCAAGTTTGTCAGTGTGTTCAGACGTAATCACCTAAAAAGTAAAATCTCATGGGTGTGGGGAGCTTTAGCTGAATATTCTTTTTAATTTGACAAACTTCTCATGTTTTTCCATCATGTATTGTATCCAAGATTTTAATAAACTCATTGTGAGATATTCATCTATATTTTTTTCCTTTTGCCATTTTTTTTATTTATCCACTTTTGCCATTTTTACCGTTGCCATTTTTACCCTGCCATTTTTACCTAAATTCGCATTACAGACATGTAGACATATGTTGTATTGAAGTTTAACAGAGACAGATTTTGTGTTGGTGTTTAACGTACAAGTGATGTATTTAGGTTTAACGAAGACACGTTGTTTAGGTGATTATCGTAGACAGATGTATTGTCGCTTAACACAGATGTTTTATTTATGTTTAACAATTAAACGAGGCATGTAACACAAGCAGATATTGTACCGGCTTTTAACACCGACTGACAAATCACACTGAATACACTGGTTCCCGTTCGATCAGCGAAGTTTAGCAACCTCAAGCCCGGTCAGTACTTAGATAAGGACCTCTAAAAAACAACGGTTACTGTAAGCAAATTTCAACAATGCGCAATAGGATTTGCTTTTTCGAATTCGATAATATATATATATATATATATATATATATATATATATATATATATATATATATATATATATATATATATATATAATAAAAAAAGGTTTAAACTCTAATATTCCATGGTTGTAATTTATTACATTGGAATCGTAATTACGATCCAATTCATCAGACCTACAAATTCAAAAAGAAATCAGAAAAATAACTGAAAGTGATGGTGTGGATTAAAATTTAACAGAGAGATGTTTGAAAGAAAGGAGTTAAATGACGGTTTAAATGAGTGAGATACAGATAAATATGAATATGAATTATGCATAGGAAAATAATTCATATTTATCTGTACCTCACTTCATTTAAACCGTTATTTAAGTCCTCTCTTTCAAACTTCTCTCTGTTAAATTTTAATCCCCACCTTCACACTTTTAGGCCTTCCTGTTCTTCTTTCGTCTGGTACCCCTCTCTAGAGCTTTCTTTTACCTCTCACATTCGTCCCCCACTCTCATACATGAACTCTTACTAAATTTTCTTTTTTATTCCAGGAGTTATTTTTTCTGATTTCTTTTTGAATTTGTAGATCTGATGAATTGGATTGTGATTACGATTCCAATGTAATAAATTTTAACCATGGAATATTAGAGTTTAAGCCCTTTTATTATATATCCGAAACATACTAGTAGAAAATACAAACATAATGACCTCACCCACATGTAAAAAATAAGATTAAAAATAATGGAAGCATTAATAATAAAAAAGAATAAGCCACCACTTAACAATATTAACTATGAACGCGGTCACACTGTGCAATGTTCTAACTGTGTTTGGAAAATAAAACATTTTTATAACACTAAAAACATACACGCAACGAATTAACCCAATTTAAATTGAAAAAATAAAATTATCCTTGATAATGGATAAAAGAATAGCCGAAAGCGGAATTATAGAACATTTGGACAGTTTCTATACACTCTGTGTCCCCCTCAAAAAAAAAAAAAGAAAAGAAAAAAAAAGAAAAGAAAAAAAAAGCAAGAAACAAAACAAAAGAT